TAGTTTTATTGCATCAGTCCAACAGAGCCTTCACGTCTTCCCTATAAGCATCTTCGTTGTTGTCCTGCATAAGACCCACCACTGCCGTGTCATCCACATATTTCACAGTATGATTCATAGCAGATTTGGTCTAGCATTCGTGGGTCATCAAGGTGAACAGTAGCGGACTTAAGACACAGCCCTGTAGGGAACCTGTAGTCAAGGAGATGGAGTTGGAAACTATTCTTCCAACTTGCACAAACTCGCACAAACAAAATACAATGTTGTATTCCTGTTGGACTGATTAAAGCTTCATATGATTAAATGTCCTCTGTGAAAGACATCTTGGAATTCCAAGTGAAGCTGGAATGTCCTTGGCTTGAAGTGGCACCCTTTACTCTGCAGTGGAACATATCCAAGAAGAGTTATAGGTTCCAAAATGTGTATTGTCAGTGGCTATCCAGATAAATTTAATATGTGTATAATGATATTTTAAATTCTTTTGTTTTCCAAATATTGCCAAAATATTGTTTCAAGATCAAATTGACCTTTCCTGACCAAGGAGCTTCTGTGTGCTTCAGATTCAACATCTTTCTTCTGATTTAAGTCTCAGGAAGTTGTAAAAAGTTCAGCCAGTTTGGTCTAGTGGTTAAAATACCAGGCTAGAAACTGGTAGACTGTGAGTTCTGGTCCCACCTTAGCCATGAAAACCAGCTGGGTGGCCTTGGGCCAGTCACATCTCTCTCAGCCCGACTTGCCTCACAGGGTTTGAATATGTGAGAATATGTGAGAATCAAGGTTATCTCTCCTGTAGATAATGGAGATGATGACCCATAATATTGGGAAGAAGAGTGATTAGGTAGATACAAAACGGTATGTTTTTAAAAGTGGTGCACTTGAAATGTGAACTAATTAAAATATTAGGGATACTTATCAAGGTTTTTTTTTTAAATACTAGGTTCTTCCTACTCCACCATTTTTTTGACCTCTTTAACTTTCATTGATAATCCTCTCTGGCATTCTCATATCTCAGCTTGCTGAGTTGATCTTTCCTGCCAAAGTTTGTATATGTATGTACATAGATGACATTTTCCAAGGTTACTAGGCATGTTGAGTTATCTTCAGTTCTGCTAGTCTCTTTGAATCTATCTAAATAAATCCAATCCCTTTTGGCAGGACATCAAAATTAGGTTCTCTTCTAGGAAGTCTGAAGTTCAATCTATATCTGTCCAATTTCTAAGGCTATTTTGGCACTAGCCAAGGTTACAGGATGATGTGCTTTCAATAACTGAAGCATTTCTTTTTGTTCTGCCAAGCCATGCTCCCTCCAGCATATTCAGTGAAGAGAAGCTGTTCATTTTCTTTTATGACTTCTCTTAATTTGGTGATCGGTTTGTGTTACATCCCAGCAATCCAACTATTAAAAGTGTGACTTGGCTATCGTATATAGTTTGGACTGTTTTAACTATGACACATGGCATTCAGGTGCATCCAGATATTGCATACAGCTTTACCCAAATAGTCCAGTATTTATTTAGTTATCTTCATGTATATTCATTCAGCTCTCAGTAAATACCTTTATGCATGCATCATAATCAATATGATTTGATAGACTGAAAATGAAGAAGTCAGTTGACCATTGGTATCTGGACACACAATGGTGCTTAGAAATGTGAGAACCATTTTGAATCTTCAATATCTCTGCATAAGCATGGCCTGAAATGTTATGTGTTCTCCACACAAGTGCTAAATCTAGCTAAAGAGAACCCAATTAAACATATGAGCCAAAAACATTATGCTTGTTCATTTATTGAGGAAAATTATCCAAAATTACCTATTAATGTAGGGCAAAATGTGTGATGCTCTGGGATTATCAGTTTATTTGAAGGGGGAATTTTGAGTGCTTCATTGGGATGATAATCAGGTATGAGTGTGGGAGCTCCTGTCATATTTAAAAAATAGAATTCTGACTATTCATTATCAAAGTCTGTCCTTCACCATGTAGAAGCATATGGAAGCTCAAAGAAAGAGGTTTCTAAAAATGCTCAACAGGTTACAAAATTATTGCTAAGTGTTTGGACTCCACCATTATGAGACAGATTATATACAAATGGAATCAATTCAACACCAATGTTATCCTCCCTAGTAGTGGTCAACCAAAAGAAATTATATCAAGAGCAAGGTGTGTAAAGTTTCAAAGAAGCCCAGGTTATTATCCAAGGAACCAAGAGACCTCTCTTGCATTGACAAATGTCAGCGTTCATAAGATTGCCATCAGGAAAACACTGAACAATGGTGTGCATGACAGAATGGCAGAGAAAAAGTCACTGCTCCCATAAAGAACTCTATAGTTTCTGAAAAACCACATGGAAAATCCAGAAGGCTGTTAGAAGAAAGTTCACACACTTCAGCAAGATTTTTAGCTAGAGTACCTCAGAGGAAATGTGAAAATGGGTGTCTCCTTGTTTTTCTACTATCAGGCCTCTGACTCACTCCAATTTAAAGGGAAGGCCAAGAATGAAGCAATTGCTCTCTGATTTCTATAAATGTACTCGTAGAGCCCTCAATAATAAAAAGCTGTGCCATTTTGTTCAACAACTATCCCAGTTTAAACATTATTCTCTTTTAATTTAATTTGCAGAGATTCATGAAAAAAAATGCTGCTAATTTCTATTTCAGAAAACAAAGAAGCAGGTTTTGTTGTTGAAAAAGGATGCTGCAATTTCATTATTGTGTGGGGTTAATGATGGGTCATTTTTGAGTACACATGGAAACTTTCCTTCTCCTAATTTCAAGCTAATTTGAAATTTGCTGGAACCAATGAGAAACAGAGTGAGACAAGTAATAGAATTGATGGCCTATATTTAGAATTGGAAATTTAGAATTTATATAGCTAAACTAGAACCAGAAGTTTAAAAGGCAAGATTTGTGTGTTCTGAGAAGTACATTGGTTCTTCCTGAAAGGATACAGCTGAGGTGTTATTTCTTACCATGAAAACCATGGGGTGAATCTTACCCCTTCAAAGCATGCTGACAGTGCTTGATTCAGCATATGACGGTCACATCATACAATGAGAGGGTCTGTACCCAGGAGATCATCACATATATAGCTATACATATGTAGCTTTTCTTCCTTTGGAAAGATAACACATGTTGAATGCCCTTGCTGATTATACACATCACCAGTGTGACTTAAGAGAGGGACATGATTCCTATTGCTTGTGGGTGAACTGCTCACTCAGTCTTCCAGTCCCATTGACTGAAACAGCTAGCTTTAATTTCCCCTTCAAATAAACTGATGATCCTAGAGATTCATGTACTTTTGACATACACAAATATATGTAACTTTTGACCATTTTTTGGCAATTTCTTTAATTGGGTTCTCTCTAGTTATAGGATTTGTGTGGAGAACAAACCACGTTTGAGGTCATATGTATGCAGAAATATTGAAAATTCAAAACTTCACTGTACGTGGACTTGCCCAGATAGTTGTCAGGAGTCAAATCTAAGTTGAAAACACAAAACCCTAAAATAAAACTATATAAAGTGACTGTTGCTGACTATTAGGAACGGTATTTGATTGAAAGGCATGTGTCTTTCAATCAGGTGACTGTTGCTGACTATTAGGGATGGTATTTGATTGAAAGGCATGTGTCTTGGGACCGTTGGCTACCAATAAAGAAAAAAATAGCATAACTTATTATAACACAGTCAGTTGAGCTCTGCTTAACCTTGAGTATATTTTTTATGATGAGCAGGAAACACAATGTAAGGTAAACAACTTTGGTCTCAGGGGAAAAGGTCAACTTGCAATGAGATAATTTTCCCAGCTCAGAGATGGCTGATAAAGAGAACTTTGGGCAGCACAACAACGTTGTCCTGAAAACAGTGCTGTGTTTAATAGTTAACACATTGTCAATGGGTTAGAAGATTTGTTCAGTGGTATCAAATCTGTGATGTACTCCTGAGCTCAAGATGGAAAACTTGACAAGTGATGTATACTTTTAGGGAAACCATATTTCTTTCTGCTCAAAGCAGTTTAGCTGTTTAATTTATATCATGTCCAACTAACATGTGCTAGGTAGCTTTTTTTGTGTATAATGTAGAACTATAAACAAAACTCTTTATACTCTTGGTGCCAAAAACAATGAGCAGAATGGAATCTACCATGATTGAGAATTGGTATCTAATTTGGATAAAAGAGAATTCTATTGTAACCTGCTTCCTGTTGAGTATTTTATAGATTAAATAACAATCCTTAGAAAGTTATGAATGCTATATTTATCATTTTAATATTCTATCAATATTTGGGCCACATTTTATGGTGAGGGAACTTGAAGGCATAACTTTACCTTTAGAAAGGGTTGTATCAATATAAAGAATGCTTTTGTAAACTTCAAAGCTATGCCTTTGAAAACTGCAGCATTACTTAGTTTGATTTTTAATTTTTTTTAGTGAGGACTATAAATGTCCACTTAGACTGAGGTATCTAATTTTTAAATCAAGAGATTAAAATATAAAAAATATGTAGTCTGGATGAATGTGTGTTATATTAAATATATAACTTTTGTGATGTTGATCAGCGCTGCCTAGTTAAGAAGTTGGGTTAGGACTGGGGAGTTCCACATCAAATTCACTCTCAAGCCTGGAAACTCACTGGGAGACTTTGGTGGTCACCATCTCTTAGTCCAGGGGACTTCAAACTTGACAGCTTTAAGACTTGTGGACTTGCAACTCCCAGAATTCCTCCTCCAGTCATGTTAGCTCAGGAATTCTGGGAGTTGAAGTCCACAAGTCTTAAACTTGCCAAGTTTGAAGACCCTTGTCTTAGTCCAATGTTCGCTGCAGAGTCATTGTTAAAATGTAGGAAATCTCCCCATGTAAGTTACCTTGAAATAGTAGAAAAACGTGGGATATTAATCCAACAATTTAAGAATAAAAATGAGAATAAGCTAATCTTAATAAAATATTTATGTACTATCCCTAATCATTTAAAATTTATATTGTTTTTTTCATACTAGGTGATGTTGGAGCAAATATCATCCATGTCTCTAAAGAGGCCCGGAAGAGGTTTCTTGGCCCTTTACACCCATCCTTCAACCTGGTGAAAATCATCCGTGCCTGCTTATATAAAACCTTATCGGGCAATGCACATGAGGTGGCCAGCGGACGTTTGGGCATTTCATTAACCCGGGTTTCGGATGGAGAAAATGTCATATTATCAGAGTTCAACTCCAAAGAAGAGCTTATCCAGGCAAGTTGTAACTCTGGGGCTTTTTTAGAAGCTTTCAACATGAAGCCATAAATGCCTATCTCCCAGGAACCAGCAGAGCTGATATGACCTACTCTTGTTATAGAAGTTCTCCTTTCTTTCTTCATGCTCTGCCTGGATTTATCTTCTGCAAATACTGCAGGCTTCTCTAGTCAGTTTGTTTATTTCACATGGTGTTTTCCCATCTCTCTCTCCCAGGCATGTGTCTGCAGCACTTTCATCCCAGTATACTGTGGCCTGATCCCTCCAACCCTTCAAGGAGTGGTAAGTCAGCACCAGGGTGTTTAACTTTCAGCTGCTTGGTATTGTACGACAGGAGCCTGTTCCTGATTTTCATGCTTCATCGAGAGGGAAAGAAGCCTGAAGACTAACGAAGATGACATGATATGCTCTATAATTCTGGCAAAATAATCAGAAAAATGTACTGTTGTAATCAAACTATTCTCAAAAGACTGGTTCTTTTTTTCTTGATTGCTGAGTTCAAGCACTAGAGATTTGATGTTTGGAAGTGGAAAAACAAAAAACTTAGGGGAGAAAACAGGACTTTTCTCCCATGAGCTGTTCAGAGCATCCAGTAGTGGGAGGTGCTTCAGTCTCTGCATGAGTAGGCTGGGCTTAATTTGTGGAACGCTCCTCCTCCTCCACGGGACTCCTCCCCAGCATTCCCCAGTTTTTGCTCAGCCTCGTGAGAGTTAAACAGTGCTTGTGATTCTTCCTTGGCCGAAACAGGAAAATATTCTTGCGTTGCAGCAGGTTTGACAGTTATTCCACTTGTTGTTAGCCTTCTTCCTTTCCGATCTCTCAAATTCGCTTGCATTGCAGAGATCGCAGACTGACAGGTCCAACTTGGGAAGCGCCAATTCGCGCCCCAAAGTGGCGGGAGGCTTCGGCGCTGCTCCGCATCCCCTCCCCACAGCCGATATTTCTACCCCTGCCTTTTCGATCGTTCGCCATAGCGTTGTTGCCTTTAATCAATCAGCGGCGTGAATTTTAGCTCTTGACTGAGTTGTATCGCTTTCTCCCCCCTCTGAACGCCATTGGAGTGGAGGATTTAAACACTTGGTACCTTCCACCCTTCCCCGCCGCCTAGCCTCACACACACACACAAAAAGAAGCCATTGGAGGCTATTCATTTTCAAGGCGGGAGTTTGCTGCTGAGGAGCGCGCCAAAACTTTAACGGCCAGAGGCCATTTTTTTCTGCTGTCAAACCTTGTGGCCGCACGCCAGCTTTCTCGAGCTGTGTGAAGTAGTTTCTGCTCGGAGCAGACATTCCCTTCAAATATTCTGGGAACTATTATACCCTCGTCTTGGCTTGTTTGCATTCGAGGCTATTTTCTTACGTTTAAATTGTTGGCTTAACCCTCACAGCCGAATTACCTCAGCAGCACTAACCCTAACCCTAACCCTTACCTTAGATAGGTACTATTAAAAAAGGGGGGGGGGCAATAAAAACATTATCAGGGCAACCAGTCTTGACTCAGATCTGGCCCCTGGGCATGCCAACCGCCTTCACAACATTGTATAACAGCATACTGTAATTCCAATTTGAATCGAAATGGCAGACGGTAGCAGTTCTCAGACCTCATCCTTGAAGGCTAAAGCCAAATCTCAACACAAACCTAAGCAGGCTAAGGGGAATTCTAAAACCTCAGAAAGGGACGCTATCAGGTGCCATAAAGCTTTACAAAAGCAGATAGAAAAGCGCACTCGGGAGGCGCACAACGTCCCACAGGACTTCCCCTCCTCTAGCCTGTCCACCTCTTCCCACCCTCCTCCCCTAGATCTCTCCCTCTCATCCAGGCGTAGCTTGGCTCCCCAAGGCCAACAGGCCCAAGTGTCCGGGACACCAACCACGCGAAGGGCTCCTGAAGCCACATTCACTCCGATGGCTGCTGGTCTTCATCAAGGTGATAGTCTTATAGAGGAGGTTCCAGAGAGGATGAAGGCCTGGATGGAGCTGGCAATCCGCCAGGGCATCGCAGCGGGGCTCCAACATGCAGTTATCACCAGGGAATATCTTGTGATCACCGATCATGATTCCCAATCGCTGAGGTCATTGACCAGGTCGGAGCAGCTCCATATCCAGGTACATTTACAGGGGGAGGCCCCCCTCCAAGGACCGACAGAGGAGGAGGACCAGCAGGAGGAGGAAGAAGCGGATCGAATTGATCAAATGGAAGAGACTGAATTGGGATCAATACATGATAGCGAGCCCCTGTCAGAAGCAGACCCCTTAGAAAGGGGAATGTCTGAGGATGAGGGTCTTATTCCTGACCAACCTGTTTTTACAGGCTTATTCCGCCCACAGTTTTTCAGATCTCTCTTGTTTAAGGTGAAAAATATTGCACGCCTAAACAAGTCGACCCCTTCCACCACACCAACTCCCTCGGAAGAGGGACCAGAGGATTTGATCTTCAACCAACCAGTAGTTGAAGCAGAGGTCATCCCAGTTCCTCCCATGTTTTCGGACCTGGTGTGGAACCAGTGGGCCTCTGCAGCGGTGTACACAGCCCCCACTGGATATGAAAGAAATATTTCAATCTGGCTCCTGATTTCTCAAAATTATTGAATACTCCCGAGGTAGATGAACCTATAGTGGGATTAGCGTCCCCCTCCATTCCCGCTGAGGTGCTGGAGGCGTTAAAGCTGGAGGAAAAACGGGTCGAATTAGCCCTGCGCAGAGCCCATCAGTCGGACGTGTGGACCATCAGAGCAGCCACAGCCGCCTCCTTCTTCACGCGTCTTACAGCAACATGTCCCTAATTCTAACCTTAGAGCGCACCAAGATATTGCTAAACTTATTGCTGCTGCTGAATTCTCAGCTGATGCAACTTATCATGCAGTCAAGTTTTCAGCCAGGGCCATTACTTCACATGTCACAGTGCGTCGCTTGCTATGGTTAAAACATTGGCAAGCCGACTTCAAACACAAATCCAAGCTGGCTTCATCCCCAATTGTGGGAGACAGACTGTTTGGCACTTCCCTTGATCCGCTACTAATCGAAACCCGTAACAAAAAGAAAATTCTTCCTTCCCTTTTTCGGAAGTCAGATCCTAGAAACCCCCAGTCCTTTCGGAGGGGATCCTTTCGACCCTTTTACCAGGGATCCTTTTCACCCAGATACCAGAGACCCCCATCATTCAGACCATGGCAGCAGCCAGATAGGTCCGACTCCGGGGATAGGAGCAGAGGGGGTGGTCAATTCAAAAGATCCATTTGGGGAGCAGGAAACAGGTCCTTTCGGCATCCAAGATAATGCCCGGGACCCAACCCCCATAGGCGGATGCCTTAAATTATTTGCCGACCAATGGGACTCTTCAACCTCTGATCCTTGGGTCAGAGATACGATCAGATTTGGCCTTGCGCTGGAGTTTCAATCCACTCCCCCAGATTTTTTCATGTCATGCCCTTTCTCCAGAGACCCAACCAACCAGGACAGGGTTTCTATTCACATCTTTTTGTTGTTCCCAAAAGTTCGGGGGGGGGGGGGGTGAAGAGCAATATTGGATCTGAAACGTCTCAACCGTTTCTTAGTATATCGCAAGTTTAAAATGCATACTCTGCAATCTATATTACTTGGCATCAGAAAGGGGGACGTCCTCACGTCCATAGACCTTCCCACTATAAATTTCTGAGATTCTGTTATAATAACCACCGTTTTGAATATGTGGCCCTTCTTTTCGGACTAGCTTCTTCCCCTAGGACCTTCATGAAGGTTCTTGCAGCGCTTGCTGCTAATCTCCGGGACATCCCCATACGACTCCAGTGTTACCTTGATGACATCTTGACTTTGTCATCTTCTGCCCATCAAGCAGTCAAGGACACTCAGACCACATTACAAGCCCTACAAAGACATGGTTTCTCAATAAATTGGAAAAAGAGTCAATTAACACCATCGACTTGGTTAACCCATCTGGGGGCTGTCATAGATACGGAGGAAGGCAAGGTTTACCTGTCACCAGATAGACTAAACAGCATTCAGCAATTAGTTAACGAGATATGGGGTTTTTAAGAGGGTGTCCCTAGCTGAACTATCAAAATTGTTAGGCAACATGATTTCATGTATCTCTATCATCCCTTGGGTCCAGTGGTTCCTGCTTCCGTACCAGCGCTCCGGTTGAAGCAACTCCAAACACACGGTCAGGGTACCACCAAAGGCCCTCATTTCTCTATTTGGGTGAACCAGTCCAACCATCAACAGAGGCTGCCTTTTCAAGTAGCCACACAGACTTGCCATCACTACCGATGCCAGCCTGTTGGATGGGGAGCTCCGCAGCTTCCTTCCTCAGATACGCAATTAGCACATACTAATCCTGTCCGACAACATAACAGCCAAAGCTCACATAAACAAACAGGAGGGCACACAGTCGAAACATCTCATGCGAAAAGCGGAGCGCTTGTGTCGTTGGGCGGAGACCAACCTACTTTCCATCAGAGCAGAGCACATTTCTGGTCTGTCAAATACACTGGCAGACTGGCTGAGCAGGGCCACCATCGTTCAATCGGAGGAGCACCTCCACCCCTCCCTGTTTTCAAGAAGTGGTCAGGACATTTGGCCAGCCGGTGGTGACCTGTTCGCTTCCCCCCCTCAACACTCAGCTCCCGAGATTTTTTTCCAGGTGCCCCAAGCAAGGAGCGGAGAACTTCACCTCGCTCTGCTGTCGTTGGCCCCCGGGATTCCTGTAGGCATTCCCGCCCCTTCCCCTGATTCCCAAGGTCATCCAAGAATTGCTAGACACAAGGGCGGATCTACTTCCAGTAGCTCCTTACTGGCCCAGACGGCCATGGTTTGCAGACCTCCGCAATCTCCCCGTATCAGCTCCATGGAGAATCCCACCAGCCAGGGTTTTGTTATCTCAGGGGCCCCTTCAACACCCGGACCCTCAATGGTTGCAACTGACCGTCTGGAGGTTGAGCAGAGTTGTCTTAAGAGGGAAAAGGTTTCCAACAGAGTTATCGCCACTATCCTAGCCGCTAGACGCCCCTCAACAACTAGCATTTACAATGCCACATGGTCCAGTTTCTGCAAATGGTGTACCGAGTCTCAAACTGATCCCACTTCTCCTTCTGTGGCTCAAATTCAAGAGTTCTTGCAAAAGGGACTCGACAAGGGATTATCATCTGATATGATACATTGAAAAGACAAGTGGTGGCCTTGCCATCAGTTCTCACTTGTGAAGGCCTATTTTCCCTTTCCCATCATCCACGCATACGGACCTTCCTTCGAGGAGCCACAAACTTACGCCCTCCAGCGGTACACCGT